AGAGGGTATTGATAAGGTGAGAATTTGGCTGTTGGCCAGAGTAAGCTCTGGTGGTCTTTATGTATCTTTTGGTTATACTAATTTATGAGTGCCACATAATATATCTTCAAAAATCCTGTGTAGGCACCTTTCTTACTTATTATATGCATAAAATGGAAACTTTAAGATCCTTTTACGTGTCAGTATAGTCATTCAAGTGATATGTTTTGCATAATGCTTTTGTTTTGTTTTGTTCATTGGCTTTGTTTTTATGGTTTTTAAATTATGTTGTAGTTACAAAACACACAGTTGTAAGAATATTACTTTGCTTTTATGTATTTGTTCCTAATATTAGCTAAAGAGGTTGTAGTTGATTCTTTTGGCAATGTCCTTATTAAGTTAAAATGAAATACTTCTCTTGTGACAACCTCATGCAAGAGCCTTTCAAGTCTCTACCTAATATTTAGACCATCCATGAAAGAACACTTGCTACTCATTTGAGACAATACACATCAGCTTACAAGGTTGAGATTGAAAACAATTGGAAAAAATCCCTGCCATGCCACTGTTGCTCTATTCCCAAGTTATGCCCTCCCGGTAATATTTATTAGACGAACGGTGGTTGTTTTATTGATGTTACATGCAAACTGGGGACAACTATCCTATCATATCCATATTTTTATTGAGGAAGCACCCTATCTCCCATGTGACCAATAATATAGTAATTATAGTTGACTTAGTACTTGTTGATGATGGATTCTGCGTAACCCGGATCTGATTTGACTTTCTGAACAAAGATAAGAAAAGGTGATCCTTTGGAGAAATCAAGAAATTGAGTTAGAGTTTATTGCATACCTCAAAACGTCGATTAACCCCCTTTCTTTATGGGGCTTAGGTAGAGTTATCGTCGTCTTCATCCTTATCATAATCTGTAGGCATAATTGTAAGGTTTAATCCTTATCGTAATCTGTAATCCTTATCATAATCTGTAGAGCCTATTTCAATCTTATAAAATAGTGCGTTAATTTAACAACCTTCCCTTATCCACGGGTATTTAATTTATGCATCCATCAGTACTTATGCTTTAAAGTTATAAAATTTGGTTGTAAAGCCTATTGGATTTCTGTCTGTGCTTTTCTGAGTTGCTTTATGGTGCTTGTGATGCTGGAAACTACTTTGTTATTCCGGGTACCCCAGATGAAGCATGGCAAGCAGATAATTTCATGCTTTTGGAGAAAGATAAGATACATAAGGAGATGGATTATGGGTTGGATGAATTCGTTATTGCAATTGTGGGAAGTCAAATATTGTATAGAGGTTTGTCGTTGGAGCACGCCCTTATTTTATAGGCTTTATTACCACTATTTGCGGACTTCTCGCCTAATAACAATTCTAGTTCTCATCTCAAAATCATTATCTTAAATGGGTATTTGACTGGTAATTACAGTATGGATGTGGAGGTAAAGCTTAGTTCAATATCTGCATATTCTTGGTTCAATTCTCATGAACTTGAATAATCTATTTTCTTATTGGCCGGTTTAGCCTCTTGATTAACATTCTTCATTTTCCCATCGGTCGTTGCTATGAACTCAAGATATCCCTTGGGCATTGTGAAGCTTGTTTCTAACTTTCTGTTATTGATCAAGATGTAGGCGGTGTTCAACACATGGCCGATCTTGTGATATTCAGATCTTTCCTCGAAGAGCTATTTTTTCCTGGCATATTGGTAAAAGCCACATATTTTGGGAAACCAATCATAGCCCCGGAGCTCACAATGATCTAGAAATATAGATGCTTCTTTTCTAAATGACGTTTTCTCTTCACATGTAAAATGTGAATCAGTTATAATATGTTTTCCTTTGATCTAACCGAAATAGGAGATTAAAAAAAAAAAAAAAAAAAAAAAAAAAAAAGCGCTCATTGCATGAAAAGAGATTTATTTCCTACCTGGGTTGCCTACGTTGCACCATTTTTCTACATTAAACGCTATACAGACCATATAAAAAGATGATCACCCAATTTCTAGTCCCACCTACAATGGGATGTTGGGGGGGAAGAAATTGAAGACAAACCTAAATATTGGAATTATTTTTCACAAAGTAGCTGTTTTCAGTTTTGAATCTGTATACCGAGCTTGTCGGCTAGAACTTTTGCCAATGCACCAAGTAATGGCCCTTCTATGTAGATAACTAGACTATAACTTCTTCTAAATTGCAAGACAGATTTGTCTTATTCATAGTTTTGTTAGTGGTTCTCTTTGGCCTTCTCTAAAATGTGCATTAACTTATTATAAATGCATTCATTTCTCAACCAGTCATATCTTGGTTCTTTTTCCAGTGGTCTAAATCAACACTATCATTTCAAATATGCTCTAATTTATGGACAAGTTTCTTGATGCCCAACATTCTGTAGTAGCATTGCTAGCCTTATTATAGTCCTCTTAACCCATATCAGGCTTATGTCACGGGTTTAGAGTTTCAGCACCACTCTAGAGGCTCCCGTGCGGCACCAAGACGTTGCTTCCACTCTCGCAAGTACTTGGTCAGCCTAATTCCCGTGCACACCTTAGCCAACACACTCCCCTCGTGCGCTTACTAGTGTTGTAGTGGCCCTCGCCCTCTCCTCACTTGGCTTGCACACTCACACACACTAAGGCACTTAAGTTGGCAAGGAAAGAACACTTCTATTACTTCAAAGAATGCTTTATACAAGGCTAGCACTCAAACTCTCTACAAGGCTCTCAAGACTCACTCAAGGACTTGTTGGCTACAAAATGAAATCCTACTCCTATTTATAGGCATCCCTATCCCTAATGGATGGCTATGATGCATTCTAACCAACGGTGGAGATCGATTCTCTAGAATCTTCTCCCACCTTCTTCACACTTTCATACTTATCCACAAGCATCTACAACATTCTAGAACTCTCTATACTACTCCACACAATTCTGGAGAACTTTAGAATATACTACACATATCTAGAATCTTCTACATAACTTTAGACAACTCCAGAAGACTCTAGAAACTCTACTCGCCATGCAGTTGCCATGTAGCGTCTTCCTCAACGTCTGCGTGTCGCCTGCGTGGCACAATCTCGGGCATGACACTTAGGAGACTTTAAGAATATCAAAAGAGATGCTGTCATGCCTCAATTTTCACTAGAATCTAATATATTACTTTAAGTGAAACTTCTTCCAGTCAACTATATTGGAGGCTTTGCGTTTATTTATTTTTATTAAGGAAGACAACAAAGACAAACCAATTCTCTCAAATTTATTTATTTATTTTTATTATTTAATTCTTGCCCATTTATCACAAAGTGTATGCCTGTGTCCTGACTATGGCACGTGTAGGAAGAAAACCAACAATGCCCGATTCGAAAGCCTGAATCCTGGTTTTCAACCTTTACGCTTACGCAGCCTTGCTCATAAAGAAAGGAAGGAGGCACATCAATTTTGCCTCCCAGCCGATTATTATGTCGACCAACAATAAATTTTCTTCATCTCGATGGTGTACGATGGGGGTTGAAATAGTAGTACGATTTGTAAGGTTGAAGTCAGAAATCATCTTTGCATTTGTTTATTTCTGTAGTTGTAGTTGTTCTTATACACACAAAAAAGGTTCAGTCTCTATCTATTTATTTATTCATTTTTGGTTGATTTGGGTTTTTTTTTGAGTTTTTTTTTTTTTCAGCTACGATTTTGAGTGGAGCCCTAAAGATTCTATTTTCAAATTGATTATCATGTTTTTCCTGCCGGAAATGGTATGCTTCTGTAGCATAATATTACTCACATTTATGTTAGAAAATACAAGTATATGTATGTATGTTGTGGGGATTAATTAGACAGACTAATGCCGTTCCAGAGGTCCCTTATTGTGATTCATTCAAATTTTTGTGACAGCAAGAGAAGTGGGAGACTCTTAGGTCATTATTATATGTTTGTTCGGAGAAGTTCATTCAGGAACTCATTGTCCAGTATGCAGAAGAGGGAAAGCTCATTGAGTTGGTTGCTTTGCTTTCGGTAGATTCGCCTCAATTATACATTAAATAATATATTATGGTAAAACTGATGAGTTAACTGATAAATTAACTGCAATTGAGATATCACGTGAACGCGTTGCAACTTGGGCTGCAACTTGGGCGGGTTAACCCAGCCCAACCCAAGCTCAACCCAAAATTTTTGAAATTGGGGCTTATATTTACAAGTCGGGTTCATGTTCGGGTTGGGTTTTGCCAAAACCCAGACAAAATCGGGTTGGGCTGGGCTCAACCCGAACCCAACCCAAAACCCATTTTTTTTTTTTTTTTTCATCCTTTCTCTCTCCTCTCTCTTTCTCTATCCTCCGCCGTCCATGGGCGTAGCTTGAGAGTTGAGAAGGGGGCTTTTTTTTTTTTTTTCTCTCCTTTCTCTCTCCTCTTTCTTCTTTCTCTTTCTCTGTCTTCTTTTTCTTTCTCTTTCTCTTTCCCTGTCTTCTTTTTCTTTATCTTTCTCTCTCTGCCGCCGTCCATGGGCGAAGCTTGAACAATCTGGGTTTTGATTTTTTGAACAAATCTGAAATGATATGGCGAAGCTTGAACCAATCTGGCGAAGCTTGAACAAACTGGACAGCGGGCGATGGAAACTGAAAGATCTGGGTTTTGATTTTTTGAACAATCTGAAATGATATGCCGATGTTTTGATTTTTTGAATAATCTGAAATGATATGCCGATATGGGTTTTGAACTTTTGATTCTAGCACACAGATAGATAAAATTGTAATATGTGGGTTTTGAACTTCTGATTCTTGTAGATTTTGTAACTTGCAGTTGGAGAGAGAGAGAGAGAGAGAGAGAATGGAGCTGGAGGCGATAGGGGGGCTGAAATGATTTGCCCTAAAAATATATATATATTTTTTTATAATAATATAATCAAATATAATATATATATATATATATATATATAATAATATATTATATATATATAATATATAATATAATATATATAAATTTAAAAAAAAAAATTTAAATAGAAAAAACCTCAACCCGTCAACCCGACCCAACCCGTCCGAAAATATTCGGTTCGGGTTATGATCATAACCCATGATGAATACAATTCGGGTTGGCCCAACCCAACCCGCTTCGGGTTGAGGTTGGGTTGGGACTGGGCTGGGTTGGGCCAACCCAAGTTGCAGCCCTAGTTGCAACTAAGATGGTGTCACTAATTGTTGAGGAGCAGAAATTAAAGGGCAGTAGAAGCAATAATAAATTGGGTCAGAAGAAGAGGTTGATGATGTGTGTGATGTTATTGCTTGAAATCTTTGAGAGGATTGGTGAGGAGATAGAATATTTGGTGTCCGGATCACATGTCATTGTATGTTACTATATACTCCCTCACTTCTCCTATTCTTGTGAATTTAATGACATTGGTGTTAGTTTTGCCTAACTAATAGTAGTAACTTTGATGTTGGTTGACCTCGTGCAATACCAGTGGTGCCCTGTTCTCCCCCTCTAGTGTGGTTTGATGGTAGAATGTGGTCTCTTTATAACACCTTCTTTTCAATTTTATTTGCCTTTTTCTGGTTCCTTGCAGCCGACTGAGAGTTCAAAGAGGGCTGAAACAATGGCAAAGTTACTTGTTTTCTGGCTCGCGGATATAGGCTTCCCATTCACGAATGAAGTTGAAGTTCTTAAACATATGAACTGGTTTGTTATACCCTATACTTGTATTTTATATGGTTTGTCTTTCCATCTACTTGTATTTTGTACTTGATTTATAAAAAATTTGCCTTGAATTCCTTAATAGCCAACACTAACGGGTATCTTCTTCTTTTCTATTATATTTGGATGTGAAATTAACGATTTATTACCGAAAGTTTATTGGATGAGCGGCAAGGGGAGTTGTCAGGTTGTTGATTGCTTCCTTCCTCTTACATTAAACTCAATGTATTTCCTGAGCCTGCCAAAGAAGAAGCAGTTCGACACATCTTGTTTAAAGTTGTCAATGTATAGTTTTTTTTTTCTTCTCTTTCTTAACTGATTCAGGTGGTGTTTGTGGATCTAAATTTGAACAAAAGAATCCTAACATCCCAGTGCACACAACGATTCAGATTCCTCCAATAACAAAGGTAAGAAAGATCTCTCTCTCTCTCTCTCTCTCGATAAAAAAAGAATATCTTTTATAAAGTGTTGATGGGGTTTTGGTCCCTGAAACTACTGACACGTCTTCTAACAAGTAATTTGTTGAATTCAGAATAATTTTGGAAGTTAGTTCATGATAGTATGATTAGTCTAAGTACTTAGAATATAGGAAAAGGGACATGCAAGAAATGGAGTTGGATTCATTATGATTAGGAGAGGGATGTTGTTTTTCTACATGAAACTACTAAGTAGGTAGTTGAAAAGGTTTGAAAATTGAAAACATGGGATATAAACTTTATTAGACCGGAAAAGAGAAACTGAGAAATGGAGTCGGTGTTATCATCAATGAGAATTTAAAAGATGCTATAATTATTATTGGAAAGAAGATTGGATAATATACTTAGTACTTATGCACCACCCCAAGTAGGACTAGATGAATGCATATTTTGGCAAGTGACTGTGGGTGGCGCGGTGTGGACGTGGTTAGTTGATTTAGTTAACGACAATGCTACTTAGACATAGAGGGGGTGAATAGGTCTTCTTGCTTGATTTTTATGATTGATTAATTAACCACGCCGTTTAACAATTAAATCTAAACCAAGCACAAAATAAACAATATAGTAAAGCAAGTAAAGGAAAGAACACACCAGATTTTTTAACATGAAAAACCTCAGTGAGGAAAAAAACCATGGAGACTAGACGTCTTGGGCAAATCAATCCACCATCTTGAAGAAAGTTACACAAACCTTGTCTCAGTCTCACATTGTTTACTCTGCCAAGAACTCATTGCTGAACATCCCAAACGGACTTGTTCATTAGCTTTAAGTGGACCAAAGGCGAGCCAAACCATTTTGTCTTTTTTCCCTAAATGATTGTAAGCTAATCCCTGAAGAGACCTTAATGTCACAAATTAGTTTACTAGTTTTACATGTGTCTGTAAAAGGAAAACAAAAAATTAGAAGTAAAGTACTAACCTAAGAACTAAGTGGTGGAATTTGAGAGAGGAGAAAGTAGAATTTTTTATAAATAGATGATAAAAAGCAGCAATATGAAATTTAGATTATGAAACTAACATAGAATAGGGTGATTGAATGTACTAAATGAGTTTATTGTACTTGATTTGTTAAAAATTTGCCCTGAATTCCTTAATAGCCAACACTAATGGGTATCTTCCTCTTTTCTATTATATTTGGATGTGAAATTAATGATTTATTACCGAAAGTTTATTGGATGAGCGGCAAGGGGAGTTGTCAGGTTGGTGATTGGTTCCTTCCTCTTACAATGAACTCATTGTATTTCCTGAGTGTGCCAAAGAAGAAACAGTTAGACACATCTTGTTAAAAGTTGTTAATATATAGTTTTTTTTTTTTTTTTTTTTTTTTTTGTTCTTCTCTTTCTTAACTGATTCAGGTGGTGTTTGTGGATCTAAATTTGAACAAAAGGATCCTAACATCCCAGTGCACACAACGATTCAGATTCCTCCAATAACAAAGGTAAGAAAGATCTCTCTCTCTCTCTCGATAAAAAAAGAATATCTTTTATAAAGTGTTGATGGGGTTTTGGTCTCTGAAACTACTGACACGTCTTCTAACAAGTAATTTGTTGAATTCATAATAATTATGGAAGTTAGTTCATGATAGTATGATTAGTCTCAGTACTTAGAATATAGGAAAAGGGACATGCAAGAAATGGAGTTGGATTCATTATGATTAGGAGAGTGATGTTGTTTGTCTACATGAAACTACTAAGTAGGTAGTTGAAAAGGTTAGAAAATTTAAAACATGGGATATAAACTTTATTAGACTGGAAAAGAGAAACTGAGAAATGGAGTAGGTGTTATCATCAATGAGAATTTAAAAGATGCTATAATTATTATTGGAAAGAAGATCGGATAATATACTTAGCACTTATGCACCACCCCAAGTAGGACTAGATGAACACATATTTTTCTTTTTTATTTTGGCAAGTGACTGTGGTGGCGCAGTGTGGACGTGGTTAGTTAATTTAGTTAAAGACAATGTTGCTTATGTTAGGATATGTGTGCCCTAGCATAGCAAATTCTAATTTTGGATTGTAAAAGTCATGGTTTCTTGTCTGGATATTATTATTAAAGCATTATACAATTGGTGAATGGAATGTATTATTTTTCGATTCTTTATGGAATTGATGGTGTCCGCTTGATTACAAAATATATTTATATATGTATGTAATGGCAATTAATACTATGATATAAATTAGTAATCATAAATGATTTAAAGTCGGTAATTATGGATGGACATTTAATTAGTTAAGACTTAAACCGAGTCCACGATAGATTGAGATATATTGCGAGAGCTGTCGTATGCAATTGCTCTCTATCACAGTCATGGCTTTTGACTCTCAAGCATGAGAGAAGTATAGACTCTTTTATTAATTAATAATTACTTTGATTTGTTCGGCGGATACCTCGGGATCCTTGGATCGACACTTTGGGTAGTTATGTAATTAATAATTAGAGGTCTATATTCTCAATATTTGCATCAGTGCTATTTGTATTTATTTTGTTTTGATTATGGTTGATCACAAATTAAATTCGAAGGCCTTCGTATGTTTTAGACAAATGTTTTATATATATATATTTATTTAATAAATTATTATTTTTTGTCAAATAAATATTTTATTGTGATCGAGCCGGAAATAATCAAAGGTAACAAAATAATTATATTAATTATGTTGTCGGATTGATGGCTTTAATTATCCGATAAATAATTAAGCATAGAGGGGTCAAAGTGCAACATTGACTTAGAGGTTATTTACTATTTAATTGGAGTGCAATTAATTTCTTTTAGTGGAGTAGAAATTAATTTATGAATTAATTGAATTGGGTCCATGGTTTAATGGACCGGACCAATTATTAATTTATAAGAGCCAAGAAAATAGTAAGCCCAAAAGGATTCTCACCAATAGCCCAAGTTGATATTGGAGTCATGTTAGGATTGAGAAAGTTGAATTAGAGATGGAGAATGATTTATTGTTTCCTTATTCTTATTTTTATTTTGCCTATATGTACATGAGTTCATGTATATTTTAGGTGTGACTTGGAGAACAAGAAAAAGGAATACACTTTCTCTCTCTAGATTTTAGGGTTTTGTTTCTCTTCTAAAGGAGGCTACCACCAGCCTAGATTCCAAGGTCATTCATCAAGGCATATTGGTGATTCCTAAAGGGAAGATAATAATAAAAAAGAAGGAGAAATGATCTTGCTAAAGGGATCTACAATAAGTGAGAACATTCACTTTAGAGGAAAGTTCAAAAGGTTTACTCAGACCTTTGATGTGAGTATTCAATCTGTTTATTGAATTATGCATCATCTTTTATTTATCTTTGCATAAAACTTGTCTCCATGTAATGAATCAAGATCTATGATTGCAAATCCCTCAAAAAGTTTTAAAATTTTGCACGTTTCCCAACAGTGGTATCAGAGCACATGGTTTGATTCATTACTAGAGAACATGTGTTTATAAAAATCATATTCATGGATCCAAATTATATATACATATATAAAATTATTGATATATGTTGATGTATGATTTATTATGTTGATATATATTAATACATGTTGATGTATGTATAATTGTGAATGGATGATGATGTGTGTTTGGGCCATGGATGAAGCTTATAGGTATATAGAATGTAATTTTATTTTTGGATGAATGTAATTAAGGCTTTGTTTTAGCCGTTTGAAAATTCAATGATGTAATTTAATTTTTTCCATTATATTTCAAATTGTAAGTATTTATTAAAGCTATGTAATATTCATCAAAGGATGCTATGAAGCTTCAAGAGGGCCCGAAAGGGTTAAATTATGCTTCAGTAATTTTCTGGAATTTTTCTGAATTTTTCAGGAATTTTTTGAGGCTTTATTTAATTTTCTGGGATTTTTCCGGATTTTTTGGAATATTTTCGGCGTTTTTCCGGTGGCCGGAGCTTCGCCGGCGGCGAGAAGAGGCGTCGGAGGTGGCCCGGATCAGGTGTGGCAGTGGCTTGGTGAGCCTGGCGCGTGTTCCACACGCGCCAGGAGTGGGCTGGTCAATGACAAGCTGGCGCGTGGATCTCACGCGCCAGCCAAGGAGTTGGTACACTCCACGCGCGGGAAGGCGCGTGGAGGCGCGTCCCACGCACCCCAGGCGTGTGGGAGCGCGTGAGGGTGCATTCCACGCGCCCCAAGCGCGTGCCAGCGCATGGGGGCGCGTGGGAGCGCGTGCAGCTTGCCCTAGGCGCGTACCAGCGCGTGTGGGGTCCTCCGGGCTCGTTCCAAGCGGCGTTTTGCTTCTCCTGACGCGTACAAGCTTCCTATGGGTGTTTACAGACAGTTGAAGGATGCCCGTACAGCAAGAATAGTTTTTAAATGTTAAAAGCTGAATCCATTGGCCATTTATATTGCTTCTGTCTATTATTTGATGCATGAAATAATTTAATAGTTGTTATAATTGTTCATGCATTGGATCCATGATTTTTAATTAAATGACTTGATTTATATTAATTAAATTATGAAGATAAATTGGATTAGATTGCTAATTAATTTGAGGGCATTTATTGGGAAACAGAAAAATTATTTTTAAAAATTATTTTTTGCCTCAAATTAAATATTAGTGAATCATTTAAAATCCATATATTTTCTAAATTTAATTGGATTAAAATCAAGGCGTTTTGCATGCATTAAATCATGAATTGAAAACCCTAGTTTTACATTATTAAAAATTGAGTGGGAGCGGGGATTTTTTATACATTACCCCATGGCCTTCGTAATTATAACCATTATGATTAGATCTTTAAAAATAAGGCTCCACGCATGATTTAAAGAGTCTGGATTACAAGAATGGTTGTCTCACGAAAATATATTTATTAAATAACCATTATAGTTAGATCTTTAAAAATAAGGCCCTACGCATGATTTAAAGAGTCTAAGCTATTAATGGCAATATATTTAATATTTATTTTTCCGTTGGAGCATTAATTATGTTATACACTCAATCTAAAATCAATAGTATTAGCTCCCCAACGGAGTGGTCTATACTAGGTGATTTTAGAAAGGCTAAATCTAATCGGGAATTATTTCATATTTAGATAAGGCATTGTCTAAAGAGATATGGAAATAATGAGTTATTCTCGTCAATAAGCAATAATGAATTCCGCCAACCGGATAAGTTATTGGCATATTGATTGTCCGATTTTTCATGCAATGTGGTTAAGGGACCCACAATTAATTAATTGTTTTATACTTGCATGATTATTATTATTCACTTTATTTATTGTATGAATGCTTTTATTTTCAGATTTATCATGACTAGTCCATTCAGTCCACTTGCAAACATACTAAAAGAAAATCGATTAACTGGACCTAATTATATCGATTGGAAAAGGCAACTAGATATTGTACTCACATATGAGGGGTTGAATTATGTGCTTACTACTCCTAGACCTTCTCCACCTTTGCCTGAGGATCCTCCTGAGGAGCATGAAGTATTTAAGAAATGGAATAAAGCAGATGAGATGACTAGGTGCTACATTCTTGCTTCACTCTCGAATGTACTCCAAAGTCAACATCTTCAATATCTCACTTCTGCAGACATTATGCTTAACCTTAAGGAAATGTTTGGGCAAATTGGTAAGAGCGCACGCCAAAATGCTATGACAAATTTGATGACCATTAAGATGGTCCAAGGTACTTCAGTTCGGGAACATGCTTTAAAAATGATTGGTTTTTTAAATGAACTGGAGATCCTTGGATGCAACTTGGATGGTGAACTTCAGGTTGACATGATTATCGCTTCATTGCCAGACTCATTTAACTCTTTTAGGGTTAATTATTACATGAATAAGCTTGAGTACACACTCGCTGAACTATTGAATGAGTTGGTAACCTTTGAAGGGATAAACAAAAGCAAGGGTGCATCTATCAACTACACTCAGTCTGCTGGACCATCCACTTCTAGGCCCAAGAGGAGGGGCAAGAAAAAGAAGAAGGATGGTGCCAAAACTGTGGTTGTGCCAAACAAAGTAATCCAAAAGGATAAGGGAAAGAAGAAAGTGCGGGTTGAAGGCGAAGGAAACTGCTTCCATTGCGGTCAACAGGGTCACTGGAAACCTAACTGCCCAATACTTCGCACAAGGCAAAGGAAAAGGTATATTCATTGTTGAGGCATGTAATGTGGTTGAATCTATAGATTCCTGGTGCATAGATTCTGGAGCCACTAATCATGTTTGCAATTCATTGCAGGGATTCCAGGAGTCCAGAAGCCTCAATGAAGGAGAGATATACTTGCATATGGGATCTAATGCCAAGGTGGAAGCTAAAGCAGTGGGAGTGGTTCATATGCAGTTTGACAGTGGGAGGAGTCTTATTTTAGAAGATTGTCTTTATGCGCCAAATGTTAGGCACAATTTAATTTCAGTTTCTTCGTTGGTTTGCAAAAATTATATTTTTACTTTTGGAAAAAATGTTTTAATTAAA